CATCATAGATTTATTATAAAAAATATTTTTAATAATATATTTTTTATTTTAATATTATGATTAGTATTTTTTAATTTTAAATGATAATTGACCCAAGTGGAATTTAAATATAAACAAAATTTTAAATTAATTTAACGTTATATTAATTGTTTGTGTATCGTGTAACTAAACTAGTGCAACAGTTGAAAATATTAAGTTGATCCATTATTTTATTCTTAACCTTTTTCGTATAATTATAAATCGAAAGTGGGACGAATACTTTTATATATGAAGAAAGAAAGAAAAGTAAATATGAATCTAAGGAGTACCGAACGATCGATCCTTCGTTAGAATGTAAATGATATTATTACTTAATTTCTTATTTAAAAAAAAATGAGTTGGAATTATGCGAAATCCTCATCTGTCGACTGAAAATCAGCAATCATAATTATTAAAAACATTATTTAAATTTATACTAGGATCAATCCCATTTGGCTAAAAATTAAAAGTTATAATTTTCACAGAATCTTTATAGATATAATAATAAATAAACTAAGGTATTATTTTCAGGAATTTGGTAATAACACAATTCTTTGATGGAAAATTAAATCTAACATTATAGCTCATTTAATGCTGGACCATGTTTATAACACGTTTCTTGATTTTTCTTCCTCAAAGAATGTTTCAGAAGACATTATAGTATTATAATTATTGACATATTGACGTAAAAATTTACAAGATTTGTGTACAGATTCTTGGTTAATACTCTTCTGATCCAATATCTTATCAGAGATTTTAAATTCAACTCACTAATTAAAAATATCTATCAAATTACAAAATTGTTAGTGAAATTGTGACTTGTTTAACTTGGGACGAGGTCATCAATTGGATTGAGTATAAATCAAGATCAAATAAATGGAAGCAAGTGACAATATATATCATTATGTCAAAGATTTTACTTTATATTTTCATAATTCTTTAATTCTTAGAGATCACCAACATTACGGCTTCCTACTTACCAGACTTACAAACATTAAAAGTTGTTTGGATTAAATCGTTAAAACACCCAGTAACCCAGTAAAACTACATTTATTTATTATTTTATTTTATTTTGTATCTAAACATATTAGCATTTGTTTTAACGCGATGACGATTTAAGACCTTGAATATATCATATTTCAAATTTTATCAGTTATTACTTAAAAGTTTTGCAATGGCTCTCATTTGCTTGTGCTAAAATTCTTGATGCATTTGTCATTAGAAATGTGAAATTATTATATTGGATTAAAATTTTGATTCAATCGCAAAAAATAGCAGGAACAGGTGATAAACTACCTGCTTTTGTGGAACATGGAAAGAGATCATTTCTTGGAGTTTAGTCGCAATGACCAAATCATTTATCGGCTCGCGTTTACAAAATCATCTTTTGGAAAAAGTAAATGATGCACGATAAAGAAGCTCAACGCCTATCCACTAGGAGATGCTGATGTATTGTTATTATTAGCGAAATGTGATCTATTCTTTATTTTTATCACATTTTTGCTAATTACGTAACTTTTCCAAAAATAGAATGTCTATAAATAGAAAATTTCCCGGTGAAAATCAATCCTTGAAAAAAAGTTATAATTGGTTTGGTTTCGCCAAGCCACTTACCCCCCAAAAAAGCTTAATTTTTGGTTTGGTAATACAGATTATTAAAAGCAAAGGGGGTCTTTTAATGATTTATTCTCAAAAAAAAAAAAAAAAAAAGGTTTAACTCGATTTGGATCACAAAGCCTAAAGTTTTTTATTCGCGATGATTTTTTTTTAATTTTAATTTTAATTTTAATTTACTTATCTCATGAAATATTCAAACTTTTTTTTCTTTTGATATGTGTTCAGTGATTATCAAAAAATACGCGTCATTATCAGAATGATTTTGGTAATGCCTACCCTATCCTATGACTTATTGGATCGAAAAAAAAAATTTTCTTTTTATTAAATAATTTCCTTTTAAAATATTTATCGGATTTAAGAGGTTTTTCCGTCGTTGAAATCTTTGTCTAGTTTTAAAAATTAGCATAGATTGATTAAATCTCGGTTCATTTGATTCCGAAAATAGAAAAGATTTCGTTAGAATAAAAATTATATGGATTACTAATAAGAATTGTATTGTGCATTATTTTATTGTGCGTGCAAGTTAAATATTATCATTATTCAATCGATTTCCAAATCAAGTTATAACAAGTAATTTTTTTGTTTCATACACAAAAAGAACTTTCCCTTTATTTTATTATATTTTTTATTATTCGATTGTAACGGGATTATTCCCTTAATTGTCAAATTCCGTTGGGAATATTTTTTTTTTGAATGCTTTTTCCATTTTGGTTTAAAACAATATAAGAAGCTGTAAGCGCGTATTTGTTGATCTGCGAAGGAATTACGCGTCGACTTCAACATATATGGTTAATATCAGTTCTAAAATATATCATTTATCTTTTTGATCGCCCCCAAAAAAAAACGCGTTCCCCAAGGCGATGATATTTTCTTTTCTTTTTCTTTTTTTGTTGATGTCTCCATTTGGAAATTTTACGCCAAAAATTTATCAAACTTATATCTTACGAATACAACTATTATCTAATCACCTTATTGAATTGATTAGAATAAACACATACATACATACATATTATATAAATAAACCTTTCTATTGCGAAGAATTCACGTAAATTGAAAAGATCTTTCCTTAGTTGGTTAGACCGGTTGGAGAAAGAAAGAAAATGATTTTATTGAAATCACATTCATTTTAACAAACATTTCTTTGTGCATAAATCATACTTATCGATCGAATTATATATATAAAAAATAATAATTACGCCTAATTTCGACTATTATTCAAAAGAATTTATATTTTCCTATTTCGTCCTATTAACTAAAGCGCCTACATGAATGGTATAATAAACTTAATATTTACTAATAAAAGAAAATAATTCGTTACAGCTATAATTCCCTATATAAGGATTGAGCTATAATTAATTGCAAGGGTATACAATGTAGAGATCTTCATTACACAGGAAAACATTTATAAGTAGGCAATCGAACCTATTATAAAATGCAATAAATAAATCTGTAAAAAAAATTTCACACGATCCCCTAGCAACCGCCATTTTTTTTATAAAAAAAATTGATGAAATTTGTAAAGCGAAATAAAATTCTACAATTTTATTATTAATAAATAATTCTATGATTTCATGTTCAAAAATAAAGAACTTTCGGTCGAATTCTTAGTCGTTTACTCAAATAACGATTCTCGATGCAAAAGTTATTTAAAATTCCAGAAATCGTCAATTTACTATCGTATTCTTGATTGATATTTACAAAATGACCTTCCAATCTGCTGATTCGAACACGGTAAAATCCGTTGTTTGTTTGTTGAATTTCGATAAATATTGTTTCAAGAAGCAAAATATGTAAGTAACGAATTATTATCTTTTGTTTGTTGTTTGTTTGATAGGTTTTCAGATTCTTAACAAAATAAATTTATGATTCACTAAACATTTAATTGGTCTCATCCTTATGTTTATTTAGTACCATTTTTTTTTACTAAACAAAATCTTATCAAGAATTTAAATCAAATAATATGCACTATTTAAATCATAGCGCATATATAATCCATGGAGATTACCGAAAAATCAAACATTAGATGATGACTCCGGAACTCTTCACAAGTTGGCAATCGTTGCAGTAAAGGATTGAATTCATCAAAATCAAACAATATTATAAAAAATGAAAATTACTATCTGACTTCTATTAGGTAACCACGTGCTAGAAGACTGAGAGATTTAAAATTGGAGATTTTCTAGCAAATTTCTTTTTTCCTTTTAACATGTTACCCGTGAAAGTGCGTCTCATCAATTGCACCTTACAAAGAAAATTTAGAGATTTAATTATTAATTAACATATATTGAATTGAATTCATTTTTTTTTTTTTGCATACTAAATAGGAATAAATGAATAAGATTTTTCACTAAGAAAGAAAAAAAAGGGATGTGAGATGGATTTGGAAGACAAAGGATCCTTTGTGCAGTTTAAAAGTAAATAAATAAATTGGAAAATATCCTTGAGCCAATAAGTGTGAGCAAAGCACAACATTCCTTGAAATATTTAAAGTCCTTACGATCATAGCGTATCGCAGACCTTTTATACCTTGATATATTAACTTGTAAATTAATAATGCATGCATTTTATTGCACATCAAAAGCAATATTCGTTGCATCAATTGTACTAAATCAATATTACCGGTTTTACATTGTAAATCTTTTGATCACTTATAATAAAAATTAATATTATAATCTTATAATGGTATAGTGGATACTGCAAAGAAAAAAAAAAATGCTTTACCAAATAATATAAAAACTGATACTTATATTTGAAGTACGAAAATGACCTAGCACTGACATTTGTTTCATACAATTTTTTCTTTTATCGAAAGATACAAATTATAAATCATACAAGATTGTTTATATGCTTCCTTTTTGGTCGATTATTACCTACTTTTTTTTTTTTTTTTTTTTTTATTGCAGTATGCACATAATATAAAATATCATATTATTAATATAAAAAGTTTTTTTTTTTTTATTATATTATCATCACACTTTTTTATTTTATACCTTAGATTTTTATATCTTAAATATACATGTATTTTATCTTATAGTTTTAATTGAAAGAAAAAAGTGTGAATGAATTGTTACACGATTTTAACGAATAATTTATGCGAATAAAAAAAGGGAACAAATTCTAACGAACAACCATATTTACAACGCAATCGAATTTTACAAGGGGAGGTTGTTCAAATAAAAAATATATATGAAAAGGAAGAAAAATTAATAAATCGTAATCTTCTATTTAATTAATTTCTAAAAAAAAAATGGAAACGATTATAAGACATTAAACTAAAGTGTTCATTTATCGATTCTGTACAAATTATATTCTCATTATTTTTTTCTTTAAACCCTAAAATGTCCGTATTCATCTTGTAAAGTTGATCAATAAGGTTGGGTATACGGAGGAAATACGTTCCAATCTACCGTGAAATCTACTTGCTCACAAGTAGGAAAAGGACTTATGGGTGGCGTTAACGTGGGTATCGGAGATTGTATCGGAGTTTGTATTTGTATTTGATCAAACCTTTCAAACAGCTCGATGCTAATTTGATTAGAAAGGTTTAAAAGTTCCTGCGTCCCAATATTGGAAATACTTTGGGTCTGAATTGTCGGTTGAGGAATTGGCGGTTGTTTATTATTCTCATCATCATTAAGTTTTGATCCGTTAGTCAATTTATTTACCAAACTTTCTAATTTTCCAATTCGATCGTTAAGAAGGTCGATGTATTCATCGTTTTGTTCACATCTTTTGCAAAAGTTATTTGTTTGCTTTATGGGTTTTGGAGTTGTTGTTTTCTTTTTTGGTGCCGGAGGTTTCGACCTCCTGACTGTCATTATATGTGTTCTTCCGGTCGTGTCGATATGTCCTTCGCTTACAGCAAGAGCTTTTCTCCCCCTTTTCGATTTAATAACAACAGGTTTATTATCAAAAGAATTTGGTGGACTCATTTCTGATTTTATTTGGGTAGAAAAGTTGGAGGTGAAAAAAAAAATTTGAGATTCGCTGCCTTTATAAAGAAATCTATTTATGTATAATCATTGTAAAATAAATAAGTCTAAAAATAAATTCTTTGTAATTTATAATTTTCTCTTTTCCAATTAAGTTAAGTGAATCGACCATAAAAAGAATTTTCTTTTTTTTACTATTGTAATTTTATTATAAAATAAATGATTTCATGACTTCAATTGAGTTTTCTATTAAACTTTTAAATATTATATTGATTTCATTTCGGAGCCCAAATTCCTTTTCCTGAGCCACAAAGACGTTTGTCATATAAACATTTGCCAAGGAAATGAAAGTGTTCTTTAAAATCGCGTTGGTGTTTTTTAAGTCACAATATTTTAATCAGGTGTTTATGAGTCATATTGTTTGAAACAAGGGTTTTGACGACCACTTAATTAATAATCAACCCACATGATTTATTTTATTCGCAACTGTTATTTCGAAATGAAACTCCGACACAAATTATTCGTTTCAGTCTTTGTTTAAATTTAATTTCTAATGGTCGCATTATTCGGTTCGACCATTGCAGAAATATCTATTTGTTTTTGGAATCTTGAACGTGAAAAACGTTGAATAAGCCAAAGTGCTATTAAAGGTTCGACAATGAATAAAATTATAAATAATGTGGCAAAATTTTAATCTAATAATGATTACATGAATAAAGCTAGAAGGTTGTTTACGGATTTTATAAGCCGTCAAGCCGAATTTAGATCTCAATATGATAAACGCCTTTATTATTGCTAATTTGGACAGGTTTCAAGTTACACTTCTTGACTGGAATTTTGAAACAATTTTTTTGTTGATTATATATGATTCATTTATTAATTATTATTAAGCGAATCAAAGTTTTTTTCGGTGTTTTAAATTGATGAAATTTTGTATTTAGCTAATGATAAAAGAATAAACAAAATATGAAAAGTTTTACAAATATTAATTGAAGAAAAAAATTGTTTATTACGATAAAACAAATTTCATAATATATAACAGAGATCAAACCAAATCATATATTTTTTGGAAATATAGTTCAAATTCGGATTGAAACTAATAATCGATAATGTGTTTGAATAAGTCAAGTATCACAAAAAATAAATTACAATATTTAAATCTCATCCATATATAATTTTTCTATTAATAACCATTTATCATAATCTTTTTTTAATCTTTCTATATTTAAATTTAAATCAATTAGAAGTATCTATAAATAATTTAAAAAGTGAAATTCTTGAAATACTTGTATATCAAATAAAATAATTTTATGTTATTTATAAATATTTATATTGTTTTAATAAAGATATTCTACTTGTTATAATACTAATAAATCCAATTATTTAATAATTAACTATAAGTATATTTATATATCTAAACTTTATTCAAAATTCTAAAAAATATAATATAATCAATTTCAAAAATTTAAAGTTTTCATTATAAGAAAAAATAATTTTATTTTTGATTATTATATTTTTTTTAATTATTATTTATAATTAGATTTTTCTAATTTATTGAATTTTATACAAAAAGTTAAATATTTTAACTTATAATAAAAAAATGTATTATTTTTTTAATTATACATAAAATTGCTTATTAAAACTCATTTTAATTTTGGCAAAATGTCTAAACATTAGTTTTGCTAATTTTTTATTAAGTTTTGATATAGTTTCGCATTTTTTAACTTTAATATAATTTTATAGTTATAGTTTTACCTTTTCCTAAGTTTTACAGATTTTTAATAAGGTTTTAATATAATTTTGATAAATTTTACCTTGCAAACCTTTTAGGTTTTATTTAACAACCTTAACTATATATAAAATGTATTATAAATCATATTACAAAATTAAAGATTTAATATTTATATAATATTTATAATTTAAGTTATTTATTATAAAATTAATTATAAAATTTAGATCATAATACTAAAATATTTAATATTATATAAAGAATCTTAAAATTTTTATGTTAAATATTACTATATAATTTATCTATTTTATTTAATTTTAAGGATTTAATTATACTTATTAATATATTTATACTTGTTTTATTATTTTTATTTAAATATTTTATATTTATTTTTTATTGATATAATTAATATATTATATCATTATTATTTTTTTATATTACTTATCTAATTTTAATAATTTTTAACTACAATTAATAAATTACTATTCTTTTAATATACAATGCAGTAAGAAAGTCTTTAGACAATTTAAAATGTTAATAATTTCAAAATAACTGCGTTAAATCATGTGAAAAATAAATTGTTAGAAAATTAAAAAATCAAAGTTTTATTTATTTTTATTTATGAAAATTTAATACGGAATATGTTCTCCATTTTTTTCAATTACAAGCCTACAACACTTCTTCATTGATCTTACCAAGTTCACTAAAATGCTTTCTGAAATTTTTTCTCATTTCTTTTTCATAAATCATTCTAATTCATTTAAATTTTTTGGCCACTGTTTTTCAACATTTCATGTTATAGTATATAGTAGACCTTAGGAGACCTGTTCATTTTTTAATTTTCTTTGCATTTTGTATTTCTCTATCTCATAATTGTTAAATAGCTTTTGCATATACGTTTTAATGAACATTTATATTTATTTGATTCTAAAAAAAAAGTGGTAATAAGTTCAATATGCTACAAAGAAAAAAAAGATTGATTTGATAAGCAATAAATACTATTTTGATTACTAAAATTCTAATTTAAAATGAAAAATTTATGCAAATCTAATTTAGTTATGAGAAATTATCTAAAGACTTTCTTAATGTACTGTATCTTTATTAAAAATTAATTATAACTACTATTTTTAAGTTTTTCTATTAGAATTTATTTTTAATTTAAAGATTTTAAGGTTAAAAATTTTGGATCAGTATTAATATTAATATTCTGTATTAAATTAAAAAAAAAATATTTAATTAAAATTATTTTATTAGAATTTACTTCATTTAAAAATTCTATAGTTAAAGGTTTTGAATCAGTTTACAAGATAAATTAAAATTAGTATTTTTTAAAAAAATAAAAAATTTAATTAAATTATACATTAGAATTTATTTTAAATTCGAAAATTTCATAATTAAAAGTTCACAGTTTTATTTTTAAAATTAGTAAAATAGTTGTAATTTAAGAATATAAACTAGTTTCATTCTTAGTATCATATTTTTAAGTTTGATTAACAAATATTAAGATTATTTTTTAAATTCATTTAGATTTAGCAAAACGTTTAAACTATAATTTTGCTAAATTTTTACTAAAGTTTTGATATAGTTTCACATTTTTATAAGCTTTAATATAGTTTTATCTTTTTCAAGATTTTTTAATATAATTTTGTTAAATTTATTTATTTTTATTTAGATGACTTGATAAAACCTCTAGATTTTGTCTAGCAACTATACAAATAATATTGGAAAGAATTGAAAAGTAAATCTATATATTAATAAATATTAAAAAATAAAATATATTATATTAATTAAAATAATAATTATTTTATTTAGAATTAAAAAAAATTGATTTTTATATGTTATATTTTATGAATATTACTTATATGTAAATTATTAAAAGCAGAAATTAAAAGCGTAATTTGTATATCTTATTTAACTCTTTTTTTACATAATGATATGCTATGATTTTTAATTTTCTTTATCAAATAGTTAATTCTTCAAAAATATCTTATTTAGTAATTTTTATAAATATAATCAAATACAAATGAAAAGCTGTTCATTTAGTTTAAACAAAATATAAATCAAGTGTTTTTCATTTATCACATTTTGCTAAAGTACATAATTTACTTATCCAATCAAATGAAAAATTTATATCACCAAAATAATCACACTGTATAAAGGTTTATCTATCCTTTATTGTCTTTTGCTAATTTATCACAAATTTTTCTTTAAAAACATTTGTAATATTTAAATTTAAATTGTAATTATATAAATATTAAAGTATTATAAATATTGTAAATAAAAAGCCAAAACAATTAAGACTTCAGAATTTGTTACTTATTTTGACCTTTTTCATGTACTTACCATCACTTGCTCTATTATTAAAAAAGAGTTAATTTATTAAATATGTAACAATCTTTTTTTTTTAAAAAAAAAGAAAGTTATATGACCTTACTGACCTTTTAATCCCTTTATTTAGTTAGCATTTTCTGCTAATTTCTATAGTATCATACCTTTCATTCTCTTTTCTACTCAGTGTAAAAATTGTATAATATAAAATGTAATTGGTGAAATTATTATTATTTTAAAGTTAATTTTTATCCAATCCTTGCTTTTTTATAATAGAATAATATAAAAAAGATCGTCACGTCTATAAACCTTTAAAGAAATTCCACTAACACAACCCTAGTACTAATTATTTGTTACCCTTATGTTTCACGTAGTGTACAAACACCCCGTGTACAAATAGCAATTCGCTACATTATAATATTTTAATTTTTATTAATCTATTAAAAAATGGATTTGAATTCATTATTTAATGTTAAAGATAAAATTGTATTGGTAACTGGGGGATCCAGAGGGTATTTATTTAAATATAAATTGATTGTTTTTCATTTAAATTTCTAATTTCTTTTAAATAGAATCGGACTTATGATAGCAACAGGATTTATAGCTAATGGGGCAAAAGTTTA